CCCCCCCAGCACGTCACGTACGTCTGTGGGTCAATGTTGTGTTGTGCCTGGCAGGTACTGTGGGTCTGTCTGAGGAGGAGGCCAAGGCCAAGTACGGTGACAACAACGTCAAGACGTACAGATCCACATTCGTCAACCTCTACTACGGCCCTTTCCAAATCCCACCCGAGGAGAAACCCAAGAGTATTGTCAAGGTGCGGAGGGACACGTGTACGTACACGTACTACAGACAGACAGAATACATACCCACATCTATCCACGCGCACTTACGCAAAGGCGGCGGACCACAAACAAACACTCCCTATACCTGCCTTCTTGTCTTGTCTGTGGTGTGTGTGTGTGTGTGTAGCTGATCTGCGAAGGGCAGAATGAGCGAGTCGTTGGCCTTCACGTCATCGGTACGCGCACTTGCACTACACTGCACTGCACCCACATGCCTGCCGACCGGGGGCGCCCCCATAGTGTTCAAACGTTCCTAAGACTGAGTCATGCATTGGCTGGCTCTTTGGGTATACCGATGGATCAGGGATGGGTTCCGATGAGCTGCTGCAGGGCTTCGGCGTGGCCATCAAGATGGGATGCACCAAGGTACGTTCAAACGGCGGTGCCTAGGGGGATGGATGGATGGATGGATGGATGGACTGACTGACTCGTGTGGTGTGGTGTATCGAATGTGTGTCTGTCTGTCTGTCTGTCTGTGTGATTGGCCAGGCTGATTTGGATGACTGCATAGCGATTCATCCGACGGCAGCCGAGGAGGTGGTGACTTTGCCGACATGGGGTATGAGCAACGCTCACGTCCGCAAACTCAAAGGCACGCCGCAACTCGCATGATTGATTGAAGAGACAAACAAGCGGACGGAAGGGAGGGAGGGAGATAGATAGATGACGCATACATAGATGGGATGGGACACCACACCCGACCGAGCTGCGACGCCAAGACCAGAGTCTCTTCCGCTGTCATATGTACGTGTGTATGTATGGTGTGACCGACCGGCTGAGGTGCCTGCCTTGCTGTGTGTTGTCTGTTCAACGAAGACGCGTCGATCTCCTTTTGTGTGTGTGACGGTGGCCCTTTTTGCCGTGTGAGCTTTGTGGACTTTCTGTGGCAGTGGACATGCATGGCATGCATCCACTGCATTACATGCAATGGTCTCTCTGGTTGTCTGCCTTCACCCAGGACCGTCAGGCAGGCAGCATGATCGATGCGATGCCTCCGTCCACCCATCCATTTTTCATAAAGCAGCCAGCATACACGTGTCTGTGTCCGTCATCCCGTGTATGTTAGTCACCCCATCGTCTACTCTACTCAACAGCGGCCCCTGTCCACCGCCCTCGCCCGCCCGCGCTCAGTCGCGCACACAGATGTGCCTCCATCGCTCCCTCCCGCACTCTCTTCCTCTTTGGGAGGTTCATCCACTTGACTCATGGGACGCTCTCTGAAACGGTGCGCAGCTGCCGGGGTCGGTCGTCGCGACACGATGCTGGTTGGCTGGGGACGAACGACATGCCGTGGGCAGCTGGCATAGTCACGTCCATGCCGAACAGCGTAACAGGAGCTAAGGGGGCGCCCGCTTCACCGATCCCCGGCTTGTCCTTGTCCGCTGCGCTGGCTGGGCGTGCCTCGTGTTGCCGATGGCTGCCCTCGGTCGTCTCACGTTGAACAGAACGGCCCGGGGATTGTATACCATCACTTGTGACGCCCTTGACACTGTCCTTCGCTGCTTCAGCTGCTGCTGCTGCGGTGCCGTCCCGGTCAGGCCCCTCGCCGTCGTTGACCCACTGGAGTGTGGACATGGCCAGCAGCATCTTGCGCCGATCGACTATGGCCTCAGGCGCCGCCAGGGGGCCGCCAGCTGCCCTAGCGGCCGGCACATCCCGCCTGACGACCCTGTCGACCTGTTCGGCCGACAGCATCCTCTTCTTGACGAATCGGTCGCTCAGCGGCGTGACGTCGTCGTCATCCTCGTCGGTCTCACCACACACGTCCCCGGCAGTGCCCTTGCCTCGCCCAAAGACGCCCTTAGGGTGGAGATGCAGGGTGTCGACGGCCATTGGGTGTGGCCTGCAGGCGTCGCCCTCATCCCACCCCTCCAGCTCACAGTGCTTGAGCAGATGCTCACGGTCACTGGCGAAGGGCTTGATCTCATCCTCGTCGCCGCCGGCATGATCGTGGCTGCCGTCTGGTGGGGTGGCCGGGGGGGTCATGAGGGCAGCCGGGGAGAGAAGGGGAGACGGGGGCTGGTTGAGTCGGCCGGACAGGAATGCTCGCAGCCTGGGCATCATCCATGGACCGCGGCGAGTGCTGCGGCGGGGCTCGGAGGCGGAAGGAGATGAGTTCCGCAAGTCCTGCAGCTGAAAGTCTGATGAATCAATGGACAAAAGAGCACAACGTGCAGTGAGGAGATATACATACGTGATCCAGATCAGATCGTCAAGGGATTGCTCCTTGCCTACATTGTCTGGAGGATGAGGCAACCAGCAAATCGATGCCACTCTCCCTGCACACAGACAGACAGACAGACAGACAGACAGACAAGGAGCCGCGCACAGCACAGGGGAAGAGAGTATCCAACAGTCAGTAATCGGTGTGTGCCTTTCCCCTGGTGTCTCCTTCCCTCCCTCCCTCCCTCCCTCCCTCCTGCCATCCCTCCCAGCTTCCCTGTGTGCCTTACGCGAGGACAGAACAAGTGGCTCGTATAATCTCATAGTCCCACTCGGAGAGCTCCCTGTCGTGGCGGTGGGACCGCCTGTTCTCCGCCCAGGTCATGAGTTCGTCGGTCGAGTAGCCCGTCCGCTGGGCGATGCGGCAAGGGTTGGGCAGGGGGGCCTGGTGCAGCTTGGACAAGTCATAAGCAGACAGACGGGACATCAGATCGTCACCATCTGGCCACCCACCCCACACAAGACAAGACAAGAAAGACGTACGGTACGTACAATGAATGACCGGACAGGTATATGCATCCATCCATCAATGACGGATGTCTGTTGTGTCAAGATTGCTGGTTGGGTCCTGCTCACCTGTCTGCATGGGGGAGGAGTCCCCCGGGTGGTCGAGTGGGGACACTTTGCGCTTCTTGTAGTGGAATTTGCCTCCGCTGGGTCCGTCCGGGATGAGGGGATCTCCTCCTGGCCCTCCGCCGCCCTCGTGTCTCCTCTTCTTCTTAGCGTCCCGTATGGCGTCCGACCCCATGGGTCTGTGGCGGCCCTCCCTGTCATGCCGCTCGCCCCTCTCGTCACGACCACACGCATCAGACGACACCGGACCCTTCTTCCTCTTCTTCTGCGGCACCGGCAGCCCCTGCACACACCACAGCCAGGGGCAGGGAGGGAGGGAGGAAACAGAGACATACATACACACCAACCGCCTCCGGCGGCGCTTCCCATCAGTACCTCCCTCCCTCGCTGTCTGCCCGCCTTGCTGCCCCTGTGCGTACGTACCTGTGAGTGTGCGGGTTGTTGTGTTGGCGGCCTCTCTCGCCGAGGGGCTCCCCTGTCCACTGCGGGCATCGAGTCGACCAATGCTGGCACAACCAGATCAGGGACAGATCAGGGACGATGGATGGTCACATCACACACTGCCAGACAAACAGCTACCCTCCCTCCCTCCCTGCCTCATCTCCTTCAATGATCTCACTCACTCACTTCTGAGAGCAGCATGGAAGGCCAGTTTGATCTCGACCGTTTCGCAGAGGCTGTTCCTGGCGCCCTGTCCCCTGGAGGGAATGAAATTCCAGCCCCAGCCCTTGAAGAGCTCCCGCGGATGGTTCATCATCTTGGCGCGGCGGTACCAGTCGCCGCCCCACACGCCCGTCAGGTCCTCCTTCTTCCTCAGCGCCTCCACCGCCTCGGAAGAGGCCGGCTTGAACCACCCCACCCGGCCGCCGTAGGGCGGCGACGAACACGCGATGCTCACGCCGGGAGTCAGCCGACGGAGCTGACGGGAAGGGGACAGGACCTCGACGGGCAAGGTGGGGGCGGCAGCAGGGGGGGCAACAGAGGGGGAGTCAAGGGGACCCGGGTGGGGCCCTGTCCCGCCCCACCCTGCATCGGGACCTCCCTCGCAGCCGTTCGGGAGCATGGCCTGATCGCCATCGTGGGGACCAGATAATGGAGCTGCCACTCCATTCTGCTTGTCAGCCACCTCGCTCCCGCCGTCGGCTGTCCGACAGACATCCTCGCCAGTGTCTGCGGGGGCTGCTGCTGCTGCCGCTGCAGCTGCAGCTGCGCCCTCCTCTTGCTTGAAGACCTTGGTGGGCTGAGAGGCACTGACCCCAGGGTTTGCCGAGCCATGCTGCTGGTGGTTTTGTAGCCCGTTGTGCGTTGGGGTGGCGTCGAGGTCCGATGATGACGTGATGATACCGAAGGACCAGGATGATGGGGGCAAGAAGACCTGATCCAACCACCCACATCACCCACATATAGCCAACCCGTCCCGTCCCGTCCAGGGACTAACACATATGTACCGACCGACGGTATGTCTGGGTCGCATCGCACCTGTGCGCGTCGTATTCTGTCCCTGGTGACCTTGTCGGTGATGGTGCCCGTCCAGGGGTTGGCAATGCGGTACAAGGGGCGGCCCCTGGACGACGTGTCCACACCCACCACCACGCCCAGGAACGACCTCGCCTGATCGCCCGCATCCTTGGTGGTCGCTGCAGGCACGGATGCTCCACCAGTGGCTGCCTTGCGTCCCAGGCTGGTCACCGAGCCGCTGCTGGCGCCTGCCCCTCCCCCTCCCCCCTGTTGTGCTTGTGCTGCTGCCTGTTCCTGGCTGGCCTTCCACTGGTTGGTCTCCATGATGATGGACCTGGATGTGGACCCCCCCGAGGGCTGGTTGATGTGCACCACCTCCACCCACTCACCCTCACCCACACTCCTCTCCAGAACGCACCAATGCTCGGGGGCGGGGGGCTGACAGGACGGGCTGCCACTGCTGCTGGTGGGTTGAAAGTCGGGTCCGAGTGAGAGGTCTCCGAAGGGGCTCATGTGGAGGGCGGGCTCGCACAGCCTGACGTCGACGGCGTGTCCGCCATCCAGCCTGAAGTCGACCTCGGACTCACGGTCAGGTGGGCTGTCCTTACCCATCCGCCATGGGTGGTCCACCCGCTTCCCACGCGCACTGTCGGTGCCACTGCTCCCTGCAGACTGCTGGTGCTGCTGCAGCCGGCTGCTGGCACGGACCGGCTCCTTGGGTAAAGGCTGGTTGGGCAACCCATCACGGTGCTGCCGTCTCATCCCCTTGCGGCCCACTTCCCTCATTCTGGGCAGGCTGGGCACGGCAAAACCGTCGCATGACTCGGCCGCACCTCCTCCACCACCACCACCACCAGCAGCAGCAGATCCCCCGGCCGGATTGCTGTGGGTGATGGTGTGTTGGGTGTGTTTGTCGCTGGCCGTGGGCGACACTCCGCCGCCCCCACTCTCACTCCCCATGTCCTCGGCAACAGATGCGGGCCGCTGGGAACCACCCGCGTCGGCCATCTCGTGGTCACCTTGCCCGAAGACTGATGCCAACGAAGGTGGGTGGGATGTGGCGCAGGGAGCCGCAGCCGCTGCCGCAGCGGGCGAGACAGCACTAGCTGCGCTGCCGGCGACAGGAGGGGCATCCGGGGGCTGACTCACTGAGGGCTCAGACTTGGATGGCACTGTGGCGATGTGGTTCGTGTCTCCCCCTCCTCGTCCTCCATCCGTGCCCCCCTGACGGCCGTCGACAGCCGGACCACTTTTGGCCTTGGACGGCTGTCCTGCCGTGTCGGTGTCCTGGGCATGGGCGTGCGGTGCGATGGGCGGGAGTGGGTGGTGTGGCGGAGGGAGGGCTCGACCCACGGTGATCAGCGGGGACGGGACGGCCGGGAGGGATGGACAAAATCGGTTGAGATTGTCCAGTTCCAAAGGCCACAGGTAGCGCACGATGCAACGATCGCCGTAGCGATCACGAAGCTCAGCATAGCTGTGACACGCACACACACCAGCACACGTGTACATACATGGATCACATAGCTCTGCCCCGCGCCCATCCCGTGCATCCGTCCGTTTTGATGGATTGCACCTGTCCTCACTCACCAGAATTCGCCATTGGCAGTCTCGTCTGAAGTGTTCCAGACCCTCATGACTGCACACATACACAGGAGCAACACACCCACCATCGAGCCAGAGGCAATGCCCGAGGTGACATGGATCTTCGTGTCCCTGCCTGCCTGGCTGTGACGTACGTGTCTCCCTCCCTCCCTCCCTCCCTCACTGCTTACTTGGTGTGAATGACGGCTCCCGCCGTTTCCTCTCGAGCATGGCGTCGAATATCTCATAGAGCCAAAACGTGTGAGACATCAGCGGATTCCACACATTCGTCACTGGTGGGTAGGTAAGCGATTCACACACAAGTGCACCAAGCAAGAGACACGGACGTGACAGCGTGAAGGATGGAGACATGACATGCAGACACGACACGACCAAGTGTGCGTGTCCGTGTGTGTGTCCCAGCCGCCTCCGTACGCACGTACGTGCGTATGTACCTGCTGTCTCGCCCTGTGCCCTGGCGTCATCTCTATCGGTGTCTGAAAAGCTAGAACCACGGAGGTTGCACCGGCGCAACACCTGGACATTAATTAACACAACCATCAGCCGGACAAAAACGTCCGTGTCTCGCTTCGGTCGACCCCCGACTCCTCCCTCCCTGGTTCGTGTGACTTGACATACACGCCGCCGACCTCCGTCCGTATGTCCGTATGTGTGTACGCACCTGTGTGTTGTCGAGGGGTCGATCGTCGTTGTGTCCGCCCGCGATGAGTCGTGAGTCCGTGAGTGAGATGCCGTCGAGCTTGACGAGCTTGAGGCGGTAGGCGTTGTTGATGATCCACCGCTTCAGGTCGCTCCGCCCTGTCAGACAGTTGCGAATCACCAGCTTCCGCAACCCGTTGATCAGGATCGTCTTGAGAGCCGACATCGACTCACTCGACACCGCCAAGTGGTTGTCTGGTTAGTTAATCCAGAGATAGGTAGGTAGACGGATAGATGGATGGATAGATGGATGTGGAGGCACACCCTGCCTCCTGTCTGGTGTCTCCCTGCCTCCCTCCCTGCCTGCCTGGCCCGCCCCTGAGCGCCCACCGCGCCCCTCCTTGGTCCCGCCCACCCACCTCCCTACCTGAGACATTGAGTTTCCTGAGTGTTTTGACGTTCTTGAGGGCCTTGACGACCATGGTGGTCTTGTCTGAGGAGAAGCTCATGGCGTTGCAGTTGAACTCCCGGAGCCACGGCAGGCGTCCCACACACTCGCAAAACATCTCGAACCGCTCACGAGGCCACAGGGCGCCCGCATAGAGCGTCATGGTGGTCAGGTGCGGCAGCTCCCCAAGCACACACAAAAAGTCCCGCAGATCCTCATCCCGCGTGAACTTCACGTCATTACACATGTGCACCGTCCGCCACTCGCCCCTCCTGACACACAACACAACACACACAACACAACACAAACCATTCGCACACACGTGCGGCACACAAGCGCACGGTGTCCTTGAGATAGTAGGCGAGCACATACACACACACAGACGCCCCTCCTTCCTGCCTTCGTGCGTTACCTGGCGAGCAATTTCTCCTTCTCCTTCGCCCACTTGGCCTCTGACACGAGCCTGATAGACACGCAGGTAGAGAACCACACCAACCGCACACAGAGGATGTGGTGCATATCCCGCCGGCCATCTGGCGAGATTGGATCTTGCGCTGCCCGCCCGGCGAGCGAGGCACTCACTCCTGGCACTCACTGGTCTGGCGCCACGCCTACCCCATGATGTCATATCTCTCCTGTGCTCTCGTCGGCTTCTTGTCATCTCTCGTCTTCTTCATCTTCCAACACTCCACACGCCGATGCTCCTATACGGCCCCCCGCTCCTTTATGTCGTGTGTGAAGGGTGCAGGGTTTCCTAGGGGTGTAGGGTAAAAACCCTTTGACAAACAAAGGTACTTGGCAATCATTCTGTGACAAGGGCGGCAATTGTGACAAGGAGGTGAGGAGATGCAGTGAGGATAAAAGGGTTGAAGACAGCAACAGTTGTGGGTTGCTGTGCTGTCCCGTTGAAGGACGAGAGCGACATAACGTAACGATATCTTGTGTGATTGGTGGAGTGACGGCCATGTCAGCGTCGGCTTGTGTGCACTGCGGGTGTGTGGAGCTCGACTACAGCACTTCTCGGGGCGATTTGACGTGCACCAACTGCGGTGCAGTGCTCGAGGAGAATGCTGTGGTCAACGAGGTGTCGTTCGGCGAGAGCAGCTCGGGCGCCGTCCACGTCGTCGGCCAGTTCGTGTCTGCTTCGGGCTCCCGGCCCTTCAGCTCATCCATTGGAGCATTCGGCCAGCGAGACCAGCGGCAGGCCACCCTCGAGAGGGGCTACAGGAGGATACAGCAGGTGGCCGGCCAGCTGCGCCTCCCACAAAGCTTTATCGAGACGGCCAACCGCCTCTTCATGCTGGCTAACCAGCGCAACTTCACCAAGGGGCGGCGGACGCGCCACGTGGCTGCCGCGTGCCTGTACACGGTGTGTCGACAGCAGGAGGCCCCACAGATGCTCATCGACTTCGCCGACGTGCTGGAGACCCCTGTCAAGAACCTTGGCCAGATCTTCATGAAGCTGATCCGGCTGCTTCGCGTGAGCATCCCGCTCATCGACCCGTCCTTCTTCATGGAGCGGTTCGCCTCCCGGCTGCCCATGGACAACGACATGGACAGCCAGAAGGTCCACAAGGTGGCCGCCACCGCCACCCGCCTCATACAGGCCATGAAGAGGGACTGGATCTGCACCGGCAGACGACCCACGGGGCTCTGTGGCGCCGCCCTACTCATCTCGGCCCGCTACCACGGCCACAAGATCGCTGCTGACGACATCGCCAAGGTCGTCCGCATATCGGGCACCACCATCCGCAAGCGCCTCTATGAGTTCCGCAAGACACCCACCGCCCGCCTCACACGCGAGCAGTTCGAAGTCACCGACCTGCAGCAGCTGCCCATCGAGACACTCCCGCCATGCCTCAAGTCAGACCATCTCAAGAGGGAGGAGGGGAAGCTCGAGGCCATCAAGGACGAGGACGACCCGGGCCAGCTTACACTGGAGGGTGGGGCCGCAGTCCAGCCATTGGCCGTCATGGATGGCAACGGCCCCTTTCCTCCGTCGGTCAAGGCCGAGGCGTCTCTGTCGGGCGTGGCTCCTGCAGATGGCGAGGGGGACCTGTTTGACGAGGGCGCTAATGACGAGGGCGTGGGTCCACCATCATCGGCATCGGCCGCATCCTTCGGCCCTGTGAGGGTCAAGGGCGAGAGGGGGCCGTCCACGACCACGGGGGTGGCGCCTGGGTCGGTGCAGCTGCAGGTGGATGCACTGCGGCTGTCGGGTGACAACCCATCTGCAGCTGACATCGACGAGATAGCCAAGTCGGTCAGCCAGGCCCTGGAGGCCGCCAGTGTGAGTGGCACCGGCAGGCGGCGCGTGCGGTCGTCACATCCGTCATCAAGCAAGCCGCCCAAACAGGAGGAGCCGCTGCTGGGGGCAGGTCTGACCGACCTACTGGACCAGCTGCTGGCAACCACCGACAAGGCGGATGACCGGCAGCCTGCAGACGGCGACGATGCCGCATGGGGTGAGGTGTACGAGGAAAAGGATGAGGTCGTGGATGAGGAGGTCCAGGGGGAGGGGGGTCAGCGGCGGGGTCAGCGGCGGGCGGTGCGGCAGCGCATCAAGCGTGACACCGACATTGATGGGGACGAGGGAGAGGAGCAGGATGACGATGAGATGGGTGGCGTGGCGGGTGCGTCGTCCGTGCGGACCGATGTGGTGGAGACGCTCAGTGACGTCGGCAGCGATGAGATAGCGGGGGAGATTTTGACGGCTGCCGAGCGTCAGGCCAAGGAGGCCGTGTGGCAGGAGATCACCAAGGATTACTGGGAGCAGTGGGAGGCCTCCCAGGAGCACAAGCGCAAGAAGAAGAGGGAGCACACCGACAGGGTGCGGGCCGAACTGCGCAAGCAAGGCCTTCCGGCAACAGACAAGGACGTCGAGGCTGCCATAGCGGCCAAGAGGCGCAAGACGGCCGGTGCCAGCTATCCTGAGGCTGAGTCGGCCGCCCACTCAGTGCAGATGGCGCTCGAGAGGAATGCGAGGGGCATGTCGGCCAAAGTCAACGTCAGCACCCTGGAGAGTCTCTTCGGGCCTGGCAGCGGGGAACCGATTGCATATGAATGAATGAATGAAGAGAGACATGAATGAGTCAATCAATGAAGCAATAAGTGAATGACACATATGCAGACAATGCACATCGATTGGATCGATGGACGGCGTACGCCGTCAATAAGATTAACCTTTTTTCTAATGCGGATGTGGTCAAGCAATATAGCAAACACCTAAGTACCTGGCACAGCCATATGTATTACATAAGTATGGCGTGCGATCGATCGGCAGCGTCCATCCATCACTCAGTCGACCAATCAATGAGTCAGTCTATGCACACACGAGCAGCACCGGGGGTGGCCCACACGTGCACACACACGTGTGTGTCCGCAGTGTCAGTTACCCACCATGCCGCACAAACACCTGTCTGTCTGCCTGCGGGCCACGTGGCCGCGTGACGAGCCACACAACAAGTGGCCCAGCCGCGGCGCCACTCTCCCAGCCAAGCCAAAAGGACCGTTGCACCCTGCCACCACCGCCTGTGTGAGTGGGCGACTCTTTGCCTGTCTGTCTGTCTGTCTGCCGACACAGTGGGCACTCGGGCGGGTTCAGGTTCTGTGCATACTGCAGGCCGACGCAGAAGTGGCCGCACGGCTGCAGCACCACCGACCTCTCCGTCTCCTGGCACACTTGACACTCGGTGGCCTCCTCTCGAGCCCTCTGGTTGCTCTGCTGCATCTCCTGCCGCATTTGCTGGCGAAGCTCTGCTGGGCGGCCTGCTGAGCCCGCCGCTCGAGTGACTGCAGCTGGGGCAGCTCTGTGGTGGTGGGTGCCATCTGGCGGTCCGTTAGCTGTATGGCAAAGCCGTGAACTGGTCCGCAGTGGTCAGACCATCAAAGATCTCAGTCAAGCTGAATGAATGACACAAACATTAGTTACATCACATCAAAGGACACCCACCAGTGTTTGTTTCCTCTATCTGTGAAAGTGGGTACTGACCTGTCAATGTGGATGCTCCGCAGCTGTCGCATGTCGGCCTGCAGTGCGTCAATACTCACTCGTTCGGAGGCTGTGTCACACGGAGATGAGATTTTAAACAATGGCGTGTGTCGTCTGCATACGTGGCGACCTCCTGTGTGAGCGATGTGTTCTGCCGTTTGAGTGTCGCCTCCCTCACACCAGCAGCCTGAGACCCAGTGAGATGAGCAAACAACAAGCGCACAACTTTGATTGAGTCTCATTTATTACGTGGCTGATGAGTGAGAGCTTGTGAATGCCTCACCTCTTGTGTCTGTCGAGGTGGTGTTGGAGCTGGCCCATCTCGGCCTCCTTCTGCTCTGCTCACGGAGGGACCTCTCGCGATCGATGTCACTGAACACGTACGCAGACACACCATGCACCGTGTGTGTGTGCGTACATACACACCTGGTAAGCCGCTGGTGTTGTTGGCTGAGCTGCTGACGGTAAGCTTCATTGGCCTTCTTCATATCAGGCTGGAGCCGCTCGTTGGCCGCCAGAGTGTCGGCGACGGTCTGCTCGCCCGGCAACTGAACCTCACGCAACCTACACACAAGCACACCACATGGTGGACGCACCGATGCGGCGACGTGATAGTGTACCGATCGCTCTCTTGACGGGCGGAGAAGGTATCTTGGCGAGCGGCGAGAGTCTCCTGAAGGGCCGCCTCCCTCTGCACCGACTCATGTCTGCCGTCGGACACCACAACCCACGGCAATGCGTGAGCTCCCTTCTCACTCCCTCCTCCCCTGACCTGCCCTCCTCCCCTTGCCCCCTTGCCTCCCTGGCCCCCTCTCCCGCTGCCTCCCTCTCATCCTCATCTGGCCACCACCACCAGAGTCGCTGGGGCCATGCAGTCGCCCCACATCGAGAGAAGCCAACATAGCTGACACACCCTGAATACACCAAAGCAAGAGAAGAATGTTCACTATCGCATCCGCCGCCCGTGCAAAGTGAACAAAGCATACAAGTGCGCACGACCCCCCACTCTGCCTCTCCTTTCTCGCGGTCATCCTGTGGAAACTGCTGGAGTTTGGCCCCTGTATCAGCCTGGCGCTCCCGATCCTCCTCGTCTTCGTCGTTTCGGTGAGCGCGTCTGCCTGCTCAACGTTGCCTGCTGGCCCTGCCGGACGCAGCTCATCATCCACTTGCACGACATCATCACTGGGCGCAAATGCACAGAGAGGCAATCACAGGGGGCTATCCATGGAATGGATGGATGAGGTTGTGTGCGGTCACTTACAGCCTTTCTCCAGTCGCCCGTTCCTGAGCAGGGCCGTCATTTCGGTGTGTCTCCTGGAGGAGGCATGAACAGAGAGAGCGTCATTTCAATAAATGCAATTCAATTACGAGTGTCAGCAGAATACAATCCACACGCAGCAGGATTCATACACAGACTAAGCTGGGAGTGTGTTAACACATAGAATACATACATAACACTGACTGGTGTCCAGCATGAAACAAGTCAACTGGCCAAGTCCACTGTCTGTTGTGCATTACGAGCGCTCCTGACACAGGCAGACACGGACAGACAACGACAGGCAAATAGAAGAAGACACATAAGAGGCAACACGTCTGACTGCTGTTTGTTGATACCTGTGTATGGGGTTGCGGTAACAGCACTGACGCAAAGGCGCTTATGCCCCAGCACAGGATTCCAAAGCCGCCCAGAAATATTCCAGTATCAACGGCATGAGCGAGGGCCGCCGTCTGTGGGCGGTCCTGTTCTCCCAGTCTAGACCTGATCATCCCTGATGGAAGGATGGCACACAAGAAGCGTCCCCCTTTCCCTAAGCCTGCCTTCATTGACTCCTTCCTCCCTCCAAGCCAGACTCTGCTTCTCTCTCCCTTCCTTGCTTACAAGTGGGGTATCGGAGCGTGAGCTTGGCATCCGAAGGGACCTCATCGAACTGACGATAACACCGTCCAGGCCAATCACGTCGGTCGAGGTCCCACCACTTCGTCCAAGGGCCGCCGTTCTCGCACGCTGCTGGCTTGTCCGACGCGGACAGGAGGCCCGTGTACTCCTTCACCGACTTGATGCACTTCCCGTCCACCCACACACTCTTCGAAGCCTCACTCATGCCAAGATCGTCGCTTCGTGCATGGGCTGATGCGGTCGTGTGGGTGGAAGTGTCCACCGTGGTGAGGTGGGAAGACAGTTTGCGCCGCAGCGCCTGGGTCAGATAAACACTTCTAAGCTCGCAAAGTGTCGAGCGCGGGGCAAGGATCTTGCGGTGAGTGGAGATCTTCCTCAAGACTGCATAGCGGCACGTTAGGCATGGGATCTCATGGATGAGATCATGGATTCATTCATTCGTCATCCACCGGAGCTGCTGGCGGTGTGAGTTTCATCCATATGGACTACATCGAGCGCAGCATCGTCAACAAGCTGCAAGGCAAGACAAACGCGCAGGCTCTCCATTGGTATCTATGATCATGCCTCTGCCTGTGTGTGTACGCAGATTATCTTGGAGGTTATCTTCACGTTCGTCCGGAGCATGTTCGTGCGTCGATATTGGCGGGTCGTCTGGACCTGCAGAACGTGCCGGTCCGTCGTGAGGCCTTCAACAACCTCAATTTGCCCGTTGATCTGCTGTTCGGGCACATCGGCAGGTGCCAGGTGATCCTGCCCTTCTCATTCGGCCAGATCTGGTCATGGGTCTACGGCGGCGGCAAGGGGCAGGGCACCAAGAAGCTCAAAATACTCCTCGACAGACTCTTCATCGTACTCGGTAGGTAACCAATGGATCCGTGGATGGATGGGCAGACGGACGCATTATTGGATTGGTGCGAGACTGAGTGGTGGTATAAACCCTCCCTCTCACACACTCTCTCTCTCTCTCTCTCTGTGCGTGTGTGTGTGTGTGCAGGTCCCCGTGAGATGTCTGATTGGTCTGATGAGGGTGTGATGCGTCGTCTGAAGCTGAAGCGTCAGCGTATCCTGGACAAGTGGGACATGCAGCTGCTGTCCGAGGTGGACCTGTCAGACACAGACCCGTCAGCATCATCCGCCCCACCACCGCCATTCAAGTCCAGGGCACCCCAGCCCGGCGGCTGGCGGGAGAGGCTCAAGGCGGGGCTCATGGCCAGGCTCAAGGAGGGCATGGAGATACAGATCAACAACATACACATACGATATGAAGACAAAACCTCTTCACCCGGCGGACCCTTCTCATGCGGGGTGACCCTCTTGGCCCTCAGGATGCTACCCACCGACTCCGACGCCAACATGCCGCAGGAAGGGCAACGAAGCAGTAGCCAGGTCGCGGCAGGGGAAGGGCCACCACCCTTACCTTCAGCCACTCCTGACATTGACGATAATGTCGCTTGTGAGTCGGCATCTGCGGTGCCCTCCCCTCCCTCGAGCTCGCCTCGGTCATCGATAGCGCTGATAGGCCAGGCCGGCGCCCCCGCCCCACCCCTCTCTGTGCAGTACCCATCGTCGCCACCCAAGAAGCTCACTATGAACAACCTGGCCTTCTACTGGAACCACAACGACAGTGATCTGCGGTTCACGGACCACACTGTGGGGCTGCCAGAAGTGTCCTCGTCCTCATACCTCTCACAGCTGCCTCACACCGATGCCAGCCCACGGACCGGCAGGCGTGCCCAAGACGCCGCCAAGAAGCCCCCCGATAGGCCGCCCGTCGCGTCGGACCCACAGGCGTTCCTCCTGGCCTACATGATCGACCAAGCGGAGCCCCAGCCCGGGATGGAGGCCCTTGCAGTCAGCTGCCAGCACGTCCTCTACCCCGCATCGGGGATGCTATCACTCACGCAGAACGACACTTCCAATGCTGTGGCCGCCAACATGAGTGCATCGGAGGCGTCACCGACTCCCGCGGTTGCAGTGCGGCCGTCGTCCCCCCCACAGCCACATCCGTCATCTTCCTTCCCCGACCTCCAGTCGGGTGCCGCGATACAGAGCGGCGCCGCCACAGTGCCGTCACAGTATGTCGTCGACTGCAACCTGCAGAGCATCGAGTTCTACTGCGATAAGGACATCTTCAGGTCACACACACTCAAACACACACACACTGCTGACACACACATATACGACTCGTGGCTGGCTGTGTTGCTTGTGCCCCTGGATGCGTGTGTGTTTTGTGTATGTCAGGGATGGGATGTCTCTGCTGGACTTGTTCGGTGATTACAACAACTTTGTGCAGGTCATCAATGACCGTATGGAGCTCTACTACCCCTACCGGCCGACCGTGCCCATCAAAGGCAACGCATACACCTGGTGGAGGTGCGGTGCACCTACACACAGAGAGATCACAGCCACACACGAATGCACACCACACCCCGCCCCGCCTCACACTCATATTGTACTCCACATACGTACGTCTCAGTGGACTTTCCCTGCACCGACATATATCTGTATACATACACATATACCTCGTACGTACTGTACAGTATGTATGTATCTCTATTGGACTGACTTGGATGCATTCAGGCAGACAGAATGTGGACGGGCGGACGCATGCAAACCTGCGTGCGGGTGTGTGTGTGAGAGAGAATGTCTGATCTGGTGTGTGTATAGGTACGCGATAGGATGTGTGCGTCGGAGTCTGCAGCAGTCTTTGCAGTCGCGGCCCATCCTGCACGACATGTGGTATGAAGAACACGTCAAGGTGCGCTGTGACCCACAGGCGGGAAGGCAGGCAGGCAGGCAGGCAGAGAGACAGACAGCACGGCATTTAGCGGCCTCCAGAAATCCGCACATGGATACATGCAAGGGTGCATTGCATCCATCCATTGATCCATCCATGGTACGTATATGTATACAGTTGGAGCGTGTCGAGTCGCTGACGCGGGAGTACCGTGGGTTGCTCGAGAAGGTGCTCGACAACGCACGAGTCAGTGAGGACGACAAGAGCAGGCTGGAGGACCTCAAGGGCACCATTCCACAGACAGACCTCGTCAGGCAAGCACCGAAGGAAGGAAGGCTCATAAATGGATGTATCCGTCAATACACACACTTATCGCTGGATGGCTGCAGGTGTCATGTTGAAACCAAACGAGACTTCCAGATCAGGAAACACGTCCAACGACAGGTCAGCGGCTACCGCGCACACACACACGTACACGCTGAAGATGCCAGACACCGTCCTGTTTGTATCGTCCTGTGTGTGTGTGTGTGTACAGGTGCAAAGTGCTCAGCCGGTCCAGCGTGTGGGCTGGAGAGGGTGGCTGATAAAGGTCATGACGGGGACATCTGCATCGGCCGCCTCTGCCCGTGGTGGTGTCGCCCCCCAGCGGCATGCAACCCCCCTCTCGTCGGTGTCGCTGGCGGTGCTGCAAGACGTGGAGCGTGTCAAGGCCGCACAGACACGGAGGCAGACGGACGACAGCTGCGGTCGCACACTTGGTGCGGAGGGAGGTGGGGATCACGATCACGACGAGGAGGAGCAGGTTGAGTTCTACGACCCAGATAATGCACCACCCGAGCCTAAAGAGGTAGGTAGGAAGGAAGCGGTGTTGAAGCGACGGACGGACAGACGGACGACTTCCTTGGCTGACAGACAGACAGACAGACAGACTCACAGACGTGTGGCCACAGCGTCCCTGTGACAACACGTGCATACGGAGTGGATGCGCGTCTGTATGCATGTGTCTAACTCCTGTTTTTCCCTGTGTGTGTCGACGCACCCGCCAGGTCGATGTGGACTTCCAGGATGTTGAGGAGTGGAGTGAGGAGAAGGCTCAAGTACCCCACAGCTGCAGCGGGGAGGCCGTGGGACACGAGGCTTTGGCGTCCGGCGAGCCAACCCCTTCAGGAGATGCCGATAGTGCCAGCGGGGGCGTGGCCATGGTATTGCTGGAAGGCGATGCAGAGGAGATGGCCCTCAAGGGCATCGAGGCCCCACTCCTGGACTTCACAGTGCGGCTGGAACGAGCCGCTGTCAACCTGCAGGTGGGTGGGTTGGGCAGGGAGAGGAGGGACGGGACGGGAGGGGTGGACAAGAATGGATGGATGGATGAATGAGTGCAAGACATAATGCCGCCCGGAGAGGGGGGCAAGTATTCCATCTGTGTGTGGTTTGGCTTATGTTGTGTGTCCCTCCCTCGCTCTCTCCCTGCAGAGTTCACGTGACGTCACCGGGACGGCGTTGCAAATAGCTGTTGGGCTTCGTGTGGCGGACAGTGTGACTGTGACGGCTGATATCAAGGATGTCAGGATGGAGGCGGCACCCATGCACATCATCTACAGGTCAGTCAGTCAGGTGCGCCGTCGGTCGACACACACACACACACTGTCTGTCTGTCTGTCTGTTTCCCTGTCTGTCTGTTTGTGTATGTGCATGCACTGATTGATTCAGGGAGGAGATGTGCGAGAGAAGTCTGCTGTCGGCGAGCTTCACAACGAAGTCCCACGACTCAGGCGCTCCAGAGCTCATGGTCAGTCAGCAACACGCCAACAGACATGCGAATGAATGAGACGTATGTATAGCATACAAACCCGTGGGGTGCGTGTGTGTGTGCGTGTAGTTGGAGATGCAGAATTTCGTCTTGAATTACCAGCCTGATGTAGTGGCTGACCTAATGCTCTTCTTCCGGCCGTCCGAAGCCAGCAAACATCACCGCAAGGAAGAGGCAGGCCACGGGAGAGTACAAAGGTGACTGACCCAACGGCATGGCATGAATGAGTGTCACTTGATGACGCTGGCTGCTCCCATCCCTGCCTCCCTGCCTCCCTGCCTGCCCGCCCGCCCGCTCGCGTGCTCGTTTGTGTGCATCATTGGGGTGTGTGTGACTCAGGTTGGTAGGTCTGAAGCACCTTGCCGAGAAGCACGCCCTGCAGTTCAATGCCTTCACTGCTTTGCGGGTGTGCGTGGACATCATGGCGCCCACCATCCTGCTGCCATCCACCCTCGGCCCCTTCGCAAAGATCCTCCTCGTACACCTGGGAACTCTTCAAGTACGGAATACGGGACGGGACGGCCGGGGACTCATGCACGGATGGCTGGCTGGATGGATGGATGGATGCGTCTGTTGTGTCCTTGTTTGTGTGTCAGGTTCGGTCTGAGGACATTGACATTGAAGCGACCAAGGACAAGGACAGGTCGCAACGAGACACATCCGTCGACATCTCGGTAGGGACCGGACGGGTGCCATGCAGTGTAGACAAGAGGCAGGCAGGCAGGCAGGAAGGGAGCGAAGGAGGGAGGGAGGGATCAGATCGGTCTTTGGTGAACCCCTCTCCCTCCCCATGCCATGGCTGTGTGTCTGTGTGATGCTTGCTTGGTTGCTGTCTGCGTGCGTACGTGCAGTATCTTCAGTGGCAGCGGTATGCGGTGACCCTCCGTGATTTGCATGTGGAGCACTATCCAAACCTGGCCGCGGCAACCGCATGCAGTAACAGACTCGGCCAGTGCTTCTGCATCCTCGACAGATTCGCCATCCAGGTCGATCCGCACCCACGACGGACTGCACGGGGAGGCAGGCCTCTCACGTGGGTGCATTCATTTGTCCGGTCTTGTTGGATGTGTCATTCATTCCTGCACGCAACACAATGCAATGCAGGTCAAGGGGGACTTCATCACCTACAAGGAGCTCAAGTACGACGGATACGATGGCCCTGGCCCCCATTATTCCGACATCACTGGTGGGGAGCGCCACACCCACCCAGCGCCTCCCACTGCCGGACTTCAAGAGGATGACGACTACTCTGGAGGCGGCCTTGAGGGACCACCAGGCCCGGCATCCGCCAGGCTATCGCCGGACCGCGGTGCCGGTGGGGAGGTGGATGCTTCGAGGAAGGGCTCCCATCTTGCCAGCCTGACGGCCGTGACAGCCTTCTTCCTGACCCTCGGCAAGGCGCGAGAGCAGGCACAGAAACTCACGAGTGAAAAGACTGAGGTATTCACCAAACTGGAAGTCTACGGAGACCTGCCGGAGCTCAGTCTGGCACTGTCGAGGCACTCGTATGACACCCTCATCAGGTGAGTCAACAGACAGCACAGGCCAAGCAGCACACCACTAGCGTACACGCTTCGTCGCCGTAAGTTATGCCGCAAGCTGATGCACTCACTCACCCTTATTTACGACGCACCTTAGGGTGATCCGTTTGCTGCTGACTCCCCATTCGGAGCTGGTGACAGCCAAGAAGAAAAGTAAGTAATGCTTGAAGGGTCCATCAAACCAGGCATAGCCTTGAAGTGGTGTCTGCAATGAATGGCCTGCCTCAGGCACATCATCTTTCGGCACGCGTCGCTCTACACAAGAGTTCGAGGTCAAGCGCAAGACGGTCGTCCCAATCCGTCTGGGGTCCACAGCAGTACCTTCGGGACAGAGGAAGCAGGATCTGCACCATCCCTCGGCTGGCGTGCCTCCGTCCCCTGGCAGCATGAGTGGTGCGACGGCCATCCTCTCGTCAAGGCCCGCCTCTGCCACAAGGCGGCCTACAGGAGTGCTGCTGCGGCCACCCTCACCCAACAAGTCTGAGGGGACGACCAGCCAGGAGGACGGCAAGTCGGGTGGAAGCAGCGCATTCAGAGATACCTTGCCCATATCCGAGGACCAGCTCCGAAGGGACCCTCAGGTGCGGGTCGTCGTGTCGCTCCCATTGGTCCGCTTTCGCTTCTACTGCCTGCCCCCACACGTCTCTGAGTACGTGCACGTGGAGTCGCCCCACGGTCAGGCCGGGGCTGACTACATCGAGCTCCTGACTCACCGGATGGTCCTCGAGGCCCGTCTCAAGCCCTTCGCGACCGAATTCCACTTCTCGGTCCACGAAGTGATTGTACACCGGCCTATCTTCCCCGAGACCCATCAGGACCGCTACATCATCAAAAGCACATCGACCCAAGACACAGAGATGGCCCTGGTGGCGGGGTTCGCAGAGCGGCACCTCATCTCCCTCGCCATCTTCATGTCTGCACACCCTTGGGCAATCCAGGTGGGCCTTGCCAGGGCAGCGCTGAGTGGGTGGGTAAGACCAGGGGTGGCCTTCACTGTTGCTGCGTGTCTCTATCCATTGCGCCCATTGATTGCAGCAATTGGGCGAGGGTTCGCGGATCCTGGCGGACCTTCAGTTTCAGCGATGTATCGAGGTGTTCTGGGCTCCGATGGCCATACGGGAGCTGGTGAAGTTTGTCAAGGCCATCCCTCCCGCACCAAAGAGGGCCCCGGCCCGCCAGCCATCCCTGCCCCTGCCCACGGACACATCCATGGACGAGGCGGCGCGGCCCCAACCGAGCATGATGCATCGCATGGCCACCGTCATGATGGGAATGACGCGTGGCCAGACATTGCATGAGGGGCGGCTGTCACCAACATCCCGGAGAGAAAGGCCTGTGTCATCAGTCAACAGCCCCGCCCACGGCGAGCGGGAGGATGACGAGGACGGAGAGGATGATTGGGAGGTCGACGAGGATGCCTGCCTGAACCTGCGGGTCAAGATGTTCATGCAGTCCATCAGCCTCGTGTGGGTGGAGGAGGCCACAGGGCTGCACTTCGCCAAGTCCGAGATGAAGACGTCCACCCTTCGCTTCGATCTGGGCATGACGGGCATGGATTTTCAGGGCGAGCTCAACAACTTCACTGTGGAAGACCTCTCGTCTGCCCACCGCCCTACCATCCTGGGCGTCAAGAAGGACCAGGAGTACATCCTCGCCGTCCATGTCCGATCCTTTGACGAGACCCTGCCCGACTTCCAGCACCATCTCGATGTGGACTTTGCCTTTGCGTCTATTGAGTTCGTTTATCTTCAGCAGAAGTTCCTTCGCTTGTGGAGGTGGATCTTCGAGGGCTTCCTTCCCTCATTGACGGCATCGGACTCGTCGGACAGCCGAACACACAGCGGTGACGACATCAAGGCACCATCTAATGCGAGTTCGGGGTCTCCTTCACCGAATGCGTTTCGTATCCTCAAGGCGGCAGCCGGGAACGTCGGCAGTGTGGTGGCCTCCGACGAATGCGAGGACGGACCTGACGAGACATCGATCAATGTCGCTGCTGAGAGTCCCTTGCGCAGCCCTGTGAGTCAAGTCAGTCGTGAAAGGAGAGAGGACATGTCTGCTTCACTCTTTCCGCCGCCGAAGCCGCCTGTCTCTCCATCGGTTCCCCAAGGCGACTCGTCCACTGGAGTGACGTTTGTTCGCCCTGAGGCAAGCACAGACCGCGCGGACTCTCTGGACGACGCACCGGAAGAGGGACAGACACAACGCAGGCCGCAGGATGACGCCCGAGAAGGACACGAACGCACGTTGACGGGTAAGTTGGCACGCCACTTCGGTGGATGTACTGCACATGCTGGGTGGATGTGGGTGTGTACGCAGATGCTGCTGATGGTGCACACGATGACGCAGCGGTTGAGGGCATGGTGAGCCCAGGGCTGACCAAGATACGCGACCTGAAGAGGGAAGCGCAGCGCAAGTGCAAGGCGGTGATAGCAAGCGACGATTTCCGTCTGCTAAACATCCATGTGCGGATCGAGCGGCCGATTGTGCGGATACCGAGGGTGACAGGTTCTAAGGAGGAGCTCCACCTGTTGGTCCGAGAGGTAGTCGTCAGCAACGCGCCACTCGTGTCAGAGCACTTCGGCGTCCAAGATGTGATTGGGATCGAGATTCGTGACGTTCAAGTCCTTACCCACGATGGAGAGACGCTCCTCGGCAACGTCAACATCAAGTGGGACGTCCACAGACCGCTATCAAGTAACGCGCAGACAGGCCGATGAGGCAAGAAAGCCACCACTGCTTTGGTGTCCGTTGCAGCCACCATGCCACCGGCACCCATGTGGATGGTCTTCACTGTGACTGACATCCCGTTCTTCTTCACATCGCCTCTTTTCGCGTTCGCGGTGTCCGTCCTCCTGCAAAACATTGTCGGCGATGACCCAGACATCCCCGCACGGCCCTTGTCCCCCCTTGTCTCCCATGTATCACCTCCGTCGATGCCCACTCGCATCGCGAAAGAGGACCACACAATGCGCCTCCAATTCGTCTTCAACGGGTTGAAGCTATTCCTTCAGAGCCCCCCCAACGGACGCACGACTACTGATGCGGCGAAGCTGAAGGAAGCACTCTTTACCTTCAGCGCTCTCCACGCCAACCATATCTCAGTGGACATCAATCGCTATTCCACGACCACGAGGATCTCGGTCGGCATGAAGAGGGCCCGCCTTATCGACAATGGCGCTGCCGAGCCTTTCCACATCGTCTTGTCGGATCAGCGTGACAAGCTCTTCGTGGAGTCGTGTTTCCGAAGCGGAGAAGGTGGAGACGTCATGCAGAAACTGAGACATGAGGGGCGTCGGAGCTCCGCTGAGTCCCCAGGCGACGCCAAACTGGACGAGTCTCTGCTACTCCGAAAGTCTCAGACTTTGGACGTGCTGAGACGCCAAGATGCCAACGACCTCGACAAGGTGAAAGACGAGATGGATGAAGAGGATCATCAAGGAGAGGAGGAGCTCCGAGTCGAGTACACTCGGACTCTGCGACACGGCCAGGTACTGTGGAAGTGGTTGTGTTTGCCTGCCTCCAGTGGTACACTCTGTGTGTCGACCTCAGAGTTGTAGCGTAGTCATTGACAAGCCTCGGACAATCCTTTCGCTCCCGCTACTGCTGAAGATATGGAAGTTCTTCCAGCCTCCCACACCTGATCTTCACCATACGCCTCCTGCCTGGTCGAGTTCAGACCCCGAAGGAGTCGAGAGTACGGCTCCAACGTCTCTTCTCCAGAGGACATTCACGACCAGCACAGCCCACCCTGCCTTCGCCTTTTCCCTCTCATTCGAGGAGTCATGTCTCGTCTTCTGCGAGAAGCCCCCCCAACACCAAGCGACTCACAAATCACCTCACGATCAGTCGGCTCGCAAGTCGGACGGCGGAAACGACGAGCCGTCAACACGCATCTTCGTCCTTCAGGGCTCGATGCGGCACAAGCTCGATTACTATGGTACGAGCCACAGGCTTCACGTCCTATATCCTGTTCATGTCCTGTGACTGTCAGGTGGTGGACACTTCAACATGTGTCTCGAGCTGTGTGATGGAGAGGCATTCTGCTGTGACAGTCTGTCGACTCTGATCGCTATAGAAGCAAGCCGCCGAGCAATGGAAGATCCAGATACGTCAGCGCCCTTCCCATCGCCGGATGGCTTCTCGTTCATGCGATGGATGCAAGCAAAAGGCGAGAGGTCTATGCGGCATACTCACGATTTATGTAATGGCGCAAGCCTTACCTTCTCTTGGAGAAACCAGCGGGTTCTGAAGGACGAACACGAGATCCCAAGTGGCCCCTTCCCTCAACCCGACTCGCTCAGCCGTGTGTCACTCGAGGTCCCAAGGTATCTTCTCAAGCGCTTCCTTGAGCTCCGCCTGGAGCCGCTGACAATGGAGGTTTCGCTCCAAGACTGCCTACTGCTGCTCAAGTGCTTTCGATGGCAGCTAAGGTCGCTCGCTGCGCCGAAGTCGCCGCAACAACATCCAGAGACATCAAAGGGCCGTCGTTTCTCATTGCTGGCACCTTTCAGCAAACAAGCGATATCTGAGGAAGCAACACTTCAAGAAGCGGGCTTATCCTCCTTGCATTCTTCCGTTATTCCTCGCCGAGTGACCGTGCGGGGAAGTGAAGAGCAACTGACTCAGTGGGAGATGCATCTGCAGAAGCTGGTATGGAAATACACGTGCAGCAATTCCTGCCCACCTTTCTGTTCTCTGTGTCACTGTGGCAGAGCATCATGGCAGTCAACGATTTCCCCGGTTTCTCGACTCTCGATGCGCCTTTTCTCGACCTGCAAGCCGGACCAATCCTCCACAAAGGCACAGTTACGAGCGACGGACAGCACTTCGTGGCGAACGTCGAGCTGAGCGCGTGGTTCTTCAATCCGATGTACAAACGTGCACTTGACTGAGACATGTACTCATTGGGCGCGCACGCGTCCTTGCGTCCTTGCGTCCTTCCTTGTTTGTCAGAGCTGTCGAGTTCGAGCCCGTTCTGGAAACCTGCAAGCTCGAAATCAATGCGGAGTCGGAATCGATTTCGAGCTGGCGTCCGTGCGAGGAAGAGTCCGCCAGGGAGACAAGCCCCCCAAAGCTCCGGTGGAAGGTGCAGTGTACTTCATCGAGCGAGCCCTTGAGGCTGAACCTGTCGAGCGAGCTCTTGCAGACATCAGTGAGATACCTATCTCATTGGGTTGAGGAGTTGAAGGAGACCGGCGTGGAGACTACGCAACAGGCATCAACCGACTGCCTTGAGGCAATTGAGCCGAACCTGCTCTCCTCGCTGAATCGTGCAGCGACGGCGTCATTCGATGCTGCTCATCTGGTGCTGCAGCGGAAGCTTCACTTTGCCCCGTTCATGCTGAGAAACGAAACCGGCATGTGTCTGGAGGTCTGCCAGGACAGTTTCGGCGCCAAAGGAACGCGCAGATCAGCGACAACATTCGTGGAGTCTGGCAAGCTTGCGCGGCTGAAGACAATATGCGTTGGAGTCAAACATCAGGCTGGGCGTAGCGAGACCGTCTCCATACAGGTGCAGCACGATGCAGATCCTCAGAGAGATTCCGGCTCAAAATTCAAGTGGAATGTACACGAATTTCCAGGTTGGAGCGACGTCGTCGTCGGAAGGCTTCTCTGGCATGCTTTACCGCAAGGCGTGCAGGGTACCCATTGAGCGATGCGGCTGTTACGTGTACAACATTTCACTTCCAAACACACGCAGTTCGCCCTCCTTTCAGCGTCACTCACTCTTTGCCGGACAACCAGAAGGTTTTCAGCCGCCTCCGCCAAGATCCCGCTTCTCTACTGCGTCCCCGCTGCCAGCCTCTCTGCATCCACCGTCACTCTCGGCCTTCCACGGCTCTGATGACGGGACGACTCCGGTATCGGCTACTGGGACAGAAGGCCAAGGGAGTCATTCTGTCGGAGCCTCGGATCCTGACTACATAGTCTGCAGAGTTGCTGTCGACGAAGAGACGGGACAGAAAACCTTGTCGGTTCAATCCCAGGTGATGGTCAGGAATGAAACCAACACGTTGATGGCGATTGCGGTCAATGGAGAAAAGATCGACTACATTGAACTTCGCCCGTCTCACCAGAAGCCAATACCAGTCAACGGTATGAAGAAAACACTGCAGACAGCAACCAGCTCGACTTGCATGAGTCGGCATGTTCCTCAGCATGCCAAGCTGGTCGAATCGCATTCCGCCCACTAACTGACGACAGCTATGAATGGAGCCGATCTGTGCATCTCGAGCGCATCTGGAACGCTCAACGTCGAATCCCTGAAACGGAAGCCCGTGACACGAAAACCGACGGTGCAACCAGGTCGGCATGAATTCTTAACGAGACGTACTCGTCCATTCTTGACTGGTCTTTTCCGTTTTTCAGTTTAGCCACTGTTCGCAAGGCTCTGAAGCAAGTGACCATGAAGGGTTCAAGCCGCGGACTGCGGAATAGCTCTCCCTCGCGAGCTGATTTTCACCTCCACATGACTTCGGAAGCGCACGTCATTCACTACCACGGCAAAAGATGTGTTCAGTGGCACCTGACACTCCGCGCTCCTATTCGCATCCGAAGCACTCTCCCAATTCCGTGCAGGTTCAAAAGCACGTGTGAGAGACGACTGACCAGTTGCAACACTGTGCCTTGTGCAGCTACCAGATCAACAGTCACGTGAGTCAAAAGCCTGTGGAGACGTCGTTGTGGTCTTCACGTGACAGTGCTGCCAAATATCGGGAGACGCAGTTCACGCATTCTGGCAGCCTTGTGACGAACTGCACAGAACACATTCACTCCCTCGAGCTGCAGGATCGGGTCACTCTGCAATTGTGCCTGTTCGGGGCACAGTTCCGGGGACAGGTCATCATCTATCATCGCAATCCTGCTGGGCGGTTTACTTTCGAGAAGGTGCAGGCTTATCGCTGCTTGGACGTCGATAACCGCGTGACCGAGGTGGAGGTCATCAATGAGTCTCCAGATCCAAGTCAGAAAACAGTTTCTAAGGAAACCCGAATAGCCTCACGTCTCGGCTTTTTTTTGTTTCTTTTTGCTAGACGCGCCGCCGGATATTTTGGTGCACGTTCCTGTCTGGCTTGTGAACTACGCGGACCCCACATTGCTCAGTGATCAGCCACTAGCTTACGACTTGGGCCTTTTATCGAGACGAAGTCCTTCCCCTCCATCTTCGTTGTCGATAAACGATGTTGATCCGCAGTCCATATGGCTCGATTACGACGTTGATATGGTCAATTATCTCACCGGTACAGAAAGTGAAAGGATCCGAAGTAATTGCAGAAAAATAATGACGTATTCTTCCGACCTTAGACCAACGAGTGAACGGCGTGGCTTTCAGGGGCAGGCAGCCTGAGCCTCCAGAACAAGACTCACACGCGCTCGTCCTCCCAATGGACGCCAAGGTTTAATGTCCACCGATTTTTGCTTTCTGGCGTTCCATTTCTCACTTGTTTGGGTTTTACTCAGATGGAGCGAGTAGCGGTATCCGTCAAGGGGAACGCCGCCCGTTCACCCTACATCAACACGAGAAAGGTCGGTGCCAAGGCATCATATTCCCTGCCCTGTCGTCAGCTTGTGTCTTCTCGATTTAGCTTGCCAGCGATGGGGCAATTTGCGTGCGAGTTCCAGATGAAGCGGGGAAGCTGCCCGATGCAAGGTATTTGTTCAGCTTGGGCAGTGGTAGAAAGCAAGGCCTGTCGGCTGTGTCACAGGCTGGACTTCGGGGTCCGCGTCGTGCAGTGTCCGGTGCCCATGGTTCGGGAAGTCAAGCTGCTGTATCTGTCTTTCCGATACTACCTCGTCAACGACTTGCCGTGTCATTTGGAGATCAAGCAAGCAAGCACTGACGCGATCGGGTTGTCTCCAGCCGCAGAGAATATTGGGATTGTGGCACCGGGATCTGAGAGGCCCTTCTTCTGGCCGGACTATACCAAACCCCTGGAGCTGTCGATCCGCATTCAAGGTATATAAACAATGAATCGTTTTCTTCACTTCCTCGTGATCTCTCACACAGGCTCCGGCTGGAGATGGAGTGGCACTATCCCAGTCAATCGAATCGGAGAATGGTAACACCCACAAGCCTTCTCGTCCCTGTGAGTGCCTTCACGTGTGTCGTGTCTTGTCGTGTCGGTCCGTGTGTGTCTGCCCCTCTTTCGATCCCAGGACCTGTCGCCTGCGGCGAGACACAGAGTCGGCTAACGTGCGAATTCTCATTGCAACGTCCCAAGGCTCGTGCTTCATTCGTTTACGCGAGGAAAGGGCCGACCTTCCTGATGCAATCAAGATCGTGAATAGCACCAGCTTGCCCATTCGAGTTAAACAAGGACCGCCAAGCAGCCGTTTGCCATCTGATGAAGTTGCGTCTGGGACGGAGATGTTCTTTGGCTGGCACGAGTATCCATCGAAACGCGTCGTGTCAGCCATTCCCGTCCACAGCGACGTACGGTCTCTTTCGGAGTACACTTTTCACACCGAAAGAGAAAAGCGACGGAAGCGTGCAGATGAGCTTTGTTTGCTTTCTGTTTGGACACAGTTTGCCGGACTTAGTCCATCGGAAATCGACCTGACATCAACAGAGACGAAGCAAATCCGTCTTCAGGACCCTGGACGCGGCAAGCCCCTCTTCGCCTACACGTACCAAGTGCAGCAGAAAGGAAATCTGAAGTACCTCACATTTTCCACTGCGTAAGGTGTAAAAGGGTCTCCATGTGGTGCTACATCTGACTGATCCCGACTTATGTTTTTCCCAACTTGCAGATCGACCAATGCAAGTGACCGCAAGGTGCTGCCCTCTCCGCCGTCAGTTCCTCCACCTGAGCGTGATCGTACCTTCAGTGATATCGAAAAGCTCGTTACCGACACTCCACCGGTCCTAGAGTTGTCAATTGAGCTTGAAAACGTTGTCCTGTCTCTCATCTGTCGCTATCCGCTAATTAATCCGCTGACGGAGGTACTAACCACATTCATCACCATGGGGTCTCCATGTGCTTGCTGCTCCCGTCTCTTTCAGGATCACGAGATGCATAATAACGAACTTCTGTTGATTAGTTTTGAGGGAATTCATTTCCTGTATGCGCGATCTCACCCCGTCTCCGGGATGCTTTCTGACTCGGTATCGTGGTTGCCTTACGAGATCCGGCCTGCAGGAGTCCGACAGCATCGTCCGCAAGAGATCTGCAGCTTCACTGTCCAAGATCTTCAGATAGATTGTAAGCAATCGTATGGCTGGTGCTTACTTACCATTTGCCGCCGTGCCGCCCCTGAGGTGCGTCCTGCTTTGACGCCTTCATCAGGTCAGAGTAGCGATGCCCACTTTCCCGTGATCCTCTACAGGTGAGGAAGCTCGTCGCAAAGTCGTGTCTCTCCGTCACATCGTTGATCCTATGATACATTTCAGGTGTCCTCCAAGTCAAGGCTCGGCAGCCGTACTGGGACGTGTCCTGCAAGGACAGGTGACAATGACATGCTTGGCAACAAGCTTTGACCGCGCCTTTTCTTTGGAATTTACCTCAGCTCTTAGATAGAACGACCATTCAGTCTACTCTGGCATCTCGGCCAATACTTCACCTGTCCTACAAACGCCACTTGGGCTTTCCAGAGCTGGCCTATTTTGAAGCCTTTCGTCTCGCCATCACAGTCAGAAACCAAGCACATGTTGCGAGAGGTGTACAGCTGGCTTGGACCCTTTTTGTTCCAGGACATACTATGTCGTGTCGACAGCCGCCTCGTGAGCGACATCAGTCTGATGCTAGAACAGTACAAGAACGCCTTTGAAGTACGCAGCAGGCACGATTCTGTAAACACTCAATTTCGCATTTTGCTTTATTTTACAGCAGCGCAACCAGGCAAATGATCGGGAAACGGCCTCTCTTACAGCGCCTGAGCAATCTCCTGTGAAACAATCATCGAGAGTTCAAAGTCGTCCATGGGAGCCTCCAGCATTGGTTTTCTCGCGAGCAGAAAACGTGTCAAAACTGTATTTCGAGGATTTGAACGTCCGCCCAATATTTCTTCTCGTTTCCTACTCGGAGAGGTCTTCACTCCCATCCAAGAGTGCTTTCTTTCTGCCTCGCGTTGCCCGATCTGTTTTGACCAGCGTCGATTCCGCTCCCTTTTGGCTCAGCGCGTTTCAGGCGCAGCATCAGGCACTCGAGGTCTCGGTATTGGTCAACCAAATCAAGGTACGTGAACAAAGGCCTCGCAAGGAATGTATCGTACCTCCGTTGTACACAAAGTGCCTTCTGTGTGCAGGACCACTATTATTGGCAGCTGACGTTGTGGGGTGCAAGTGCTGGCCTTCTCTCGCTGGAGTTCTTTGGCAATCCAATAGGGCTTGTTGGCGCCGTTCTGGAATCCGCCTCTGATCTCATTTACAAGCCATTTGAGGTAAATGGTGGCTGTGGTGTTGATCTTTGATCTTTCCTTAGCTAATGGGCAAATGTGCCGCTCAGAGTGTCGCACGCGAGGGTCTGTTCGCCCTTCCTCAAGGTATTGCAAGTGGCGTTACGTCCGCCTTCTTCGGGACACTCAGCACGACCGGAGCCGCGGGCGCCTCCGTCGCTGGCACGTTCTCCCAGGTTCTGCGGCATTTCTCCCATCTAGGTTTTATCATTTTTCTCCTTTTCTTTTTTTCTTTCCTTCTTTCCTTCTTTCCGTCTTTCCTTCTTTCCTTCTTTTCGTCTTTCCTTCTTTCCGTCTTTCCTTCTTTCCTTTCTCATTCAGACTCTTGGCGCCATGTCTTTGGATGACAAGTTCGTGCATTCGCAACGGGAAGACGTGCTTCGGAACCGCCCACGAACTATCATGGACACCTTTGTGGCGGCCGGTAGCACCGGGCTAAAGGGCATCGCAGAAGGCCTCACCGGTCAGGCCAGTCATCATCAGCTCATCCTGGCGTTTTGGATCTGTGTGATTGGTTTTCCTGTGAAGGTTTTGTCCGGCAGCCCGCAGAAGGGTTCTCCGAGACTGGCATCGAGGGCTTTGTGACAGGTTGGCAGCACGTCACATTAGCACGGTCTGCAGTATTGTATAAACATGTACGCATCGTATCAGGACTGGTCAAGGGGACCGCAGGATTAGTGTTTAAGCCAACAGCCGCTAGCTTGAACGCTGTACAGAAGCTCTTCATTGGCATTCAGGTGAAAGCACGTGCAGGACGTCAACGAAACTATGGCTCCTTGTCACATTTTGCAGGATGTCGCGGCGACCGCTGAGTTGAAGCAACGAGAACGGCGACGCTTACCAAGAGTCCTTTATGGCTCTGATCGATTGCTGAAGCCGTACAACGAGAAGCACGCCATCGTCAAGTCACGGCTTGCCTATGTGGAGGCCCAGTGCTGGAGCTACCTACCATATCAGTGTATCTTGCCTGATGAGCGACGAGACTGCGTTTATCTCATAACCGACTCGCTGCTTCTTCAGGTCACAACCTCCTCTTGTCTATCACGTGTCTCTTACCACTGGTGTGTTTCCCACAGGTGGATGTGCGGAGTAGCTCTACCCGGTTTAGACTCGTCGAGCTCTACAAGATCGAGTCGGTTGGCGGCCGCTCTGCCGATCGAAATCGTCGAGCGTCCTTTATGGTCCCGTTCTCACTGTGGGCGCAACCTTCGGACCGGCACGAGAACCCAGTGGCACAGGCTACAGAGCTGACGGTGCGCTTGAAGGACGGTGGCGTTTGGAATCTGGAATTTTCGAGCATCGAGCTTGCACAGGCTTTCGAGTCTCACTTGAGCTCGTGTCTCGATATCACGATATAGCCTTCCTACTTGTGTAGAATCTTGTATAGGCTCGTCGTGATGCGAAACTTTCTCTCGCTCTTGTACAGTCCCGTGTGACTTGTGAATACATATCTCGGAAGACTGCCTCGTCGTAAAATGTAGTCATACAGATGATGCTCAGCTCAGGGGTGGCCTTCGCGCATCCCTCGCTCTGACACCCATGAACCACACAGATTGACTGACCTGCCGTCGGCGATCGAAGGTGCCCTCCGCAGTTCGGTCAATCTCTGGCCTGTCGGTGCTTGGCTCGGCCCTTCGGGCCTCGCTGTCACAATTGCATCGATCACGAGAAGTCAAAAAACCACGCATCTGGACCTCTCAATCCAATGGCCATTGGGGTCGAATTTGCAGTTGGCCCGGATGTTTTAGGACCTCGCCAATCACCCGGGGCATTTGTCCATTTGCGGAACACGCGTGTGGATTCGCCTGGACGCATTGTCTGTCGCGGGTGGTAGCACCGAATTTGACGTGTCCGTTCAACTTGTTGATCGACGTCTTACATTGCACTCACCCAGGCTCCGATCCGTCAGGTCTGACGAAAGGATCTGACGAAAGAGAGCCAGCACCACCAGGAGGAAAGGTGAATGAGTGGATGCATGCATATCTCTCTCTGTACGGTCATGGTGTTTGTCTCTCTATACTGAATCAGTGGCTGGGTGGGTGGGTGTGGGTGTGAGGATATGATTGTCGGCTGCAGGGGTGACTTGCGGGTTCGTCGGTGTGGTGCCGACGGCCGTCAGACGAGAGACATTGCCTGTCGGCCGTTGAACATCCATGTATCGCATTGATTGAGACGGCATGAGTCGGCCGATCGGCCAGAAAACACCAGCATGCACCAAAGAGCAGTCGGCGGGCATCAGCCTGCATCCGGCGGTCATCAGGGAGCACTCGGGAGGCGTCAGGGGACCGGTTTTCCATCACAGAACCCAGTTTTCTGTACACCCCCCCCCCCCCCCCCCCCCCCCCC